AGAGGGTAATCTCTGTGGGGTACCGTGTGTGCTACAGAACTCACAGAAGTGTAGGGTACTGTGGTGCAACCGTCACAGAACTCACAGAAGTGTAGGGTATTGTGGCGCTACGGGCACAGAACTCACAGAATTGTTCTGTAGGGTAAAACAGAGGGTAATTACCCCCGGTAGAGATCTGTGGGTACCCTACAGAACCTAACCTTTTTCAATTTGCATCGATCTGTATCCAATTTGGAAGAATAAAATCCATGGCGGAACTATGATCACGTGGCAGCTCCTTCTCGACAGCATTTTCGACGCAAGTTGGGTAGGTCATATTTTCAGGCGGCTGACTTCGATAACGCGAAAAAGGGAAAAAAAAAAAGTTTTTGACCGTACACACATTCCAACTTTAGGGGGCTTGCTGTTGATGCTCAAGCACTGCCTACCAGACCAGCTCATCCAATCGCAAAAAAAAAAGCCAGAGGAACAGCCTTAAATAAAACATTGTTTTCACACGGTGCCTGCCGTAGCTCTCCAGTACGCGAGTGAGTGAGACGGTTCTTGTCGCCCCCCCTACAGCGTTGTAACGTTGAACTTCCACCAGTTTGTTCGCCGGGTCAGTTTTGACCAAACAAGTCAGACCAGTTTTCCGAGACCCAAAGGAGAAAACAAGCAGCGAAAGACAAAACAAAAGAAAGACACACCAACACCAATCAACACTGGGTTGCTGGGAGACCTGCTGACATCGTTAATAAGCGCCTCCCTCTAGAGGACGCACGTGCCCTCATGATCTGAGACGCGGGCCATCAACAAAGAGACTGAACCCATTTCGAAACGTGTCGTGCGTGTACGCAAAAGCGCACGTGCATGGGCCGTCCTTTTCAAAATGAAAAGTACAAATTTAAGGGACACCTCTCTGGAGCAGTCAGATATTCAACCTCCGTAATCTCACACAAGGTACCCCTCCCCCACCGAACCCTATTCATTCCACATTAATCAGCTCCTGACCTCCTGGACAGGTAGGCAGGCAAACCGTAAGAAAACGTGGGCAATCAATGTTTGCGGGCTGCGCACTCGAAAGAGCAACACAGGACGCATGTACCATCTGTCATTCATATCGAGCGGCCGCTCAAGAACTTGCTGCGGCAGTCACGTCTTGACTTCTGTGTAGCTTACTCCCAAGGGATATCTACTTCCAAGCACCACGACAAACAATAAGGGTTCCAACAAGAACAAAAACGAGGCACGCATCTAGACTACTGGCAGTGGAGTGAATATGTTCGATTCCCTGCGGCGGCGCAAAACAAATCCTTCTCCCCCAAGAGAAAGAAGAAAAGAGAGTCTTGCCCCACAGAGGGGAAAATTACAGCAGCGAATACATTCCTCTGCAAGAACTCAACACTGAAAACTCGTGCGCAGACCGAAAATTCCCAACACGGGGCACCTGTGCGACTCAACCATACCCAGAGCAACCACTCCCGCCGTCCGGGCGGTGGGGAGCGGCCTCCCCTTTTGAAGAGAAAAGAACGCCCCAGCATCAGGAGCACCTGACACGATTATGCCGGCGTTTCATGAAGACGGCCAGGCCGGCCCATCGCCCTCTCCTCAAGAAAGGCAGAAACAAAACTCGTTCGAAAGCCGTCAAGCCACCGCCATCGCTTGTCGCCCCCGCCACTATGCACCGACGCGCGCAAGCGAACGGCCGCTCCGATTTTCATCCGCCGACCAACATTAACATCACCACCTCAAAGGCCCCACAAGGCACCGGCCGCCAACGCGGCCAAAGCGCACGACACCACGGCGGTCACCCTGGCGCCGCCGCCCATCGCAGTCGCGCCGTCAGCCTCCTCGCCGGCCTCGGTGGGGCTCACGGTCTCGTGGTCCATGTCGTCGGTGTGCTCGTGCACGGAGGGTGCCGGGGTCTCCATCGTCGGATCGCCGTTCATGCTGATGGGCGCCGGGGTCTCCATCGTCGGATCGCCGTTCATGCTGATGGGCGCCGGGGTATCCATCGTCGCGGTGGTGTCCGTGGTGGTTTCCATGGTGGTGTCCATGGAGGTGGGCATGGGAGTACCCTGTTGGTTGTCTTGAGCGCTGAAGGCAGGCAGACGCGCGGAACAATTAGGGTACACACATAGGGGGGAGGAGGGTTGCACGAATCAGCCTCAGCAAAATTCAACGGTAGGAGGTGCGCCAGAGAATAGAAGCAGGTGATGAGTTCTTTCGTGTATTAGTCCTCGCGGTATTTTTCCGCCGCATCCCTACTGTGGTGCTTGCCTTCGATTTAATAATTATCAAGGCCGTGGTCCCACTCCGGAGGGGCAGCCTTGAATGTTGCTGTCTTTACATCGAAAAACAATTCCATTTTCTCTATCCAGTACCTTCTTCTGTCCGTCCAACTTGACGCGGTCGATTTTTGTGGTGAGTATGCTTAAACGGACGACGAGCAACTACCTGTAGTTCAGATGGATCCTACCAGAGGGGCAATCCGATAGTGGTGCGTATGGGGTTGGAGCAATGAGACGTCGACATTATCCATTGGCGAGTAAGTAAGCCTGCCGCAGTATACTTCCACCAGGTTTTCTTCCCGAATCACTAGAACGACTGTTAACACAATTCCTTTCGCCTGCTGCTGCGGCATTATCTCATAACCTCGACTTGGTCGTCTTTTCGGGATTACATAGATGTTTCGAAGCAAGACAGTGACATAACAGTGCTCCTGGAACGCAACGAGTTCGTTGCTCTGCTTCCTACAAATCTATCCTGGAATCTGATTGGTGGATAGATGGATTTCTTGGGTGATGATACATATAGATAACATGGCAGGTAAACACGCCACCCATGTACGATACACTGCTGTAGGTGGGTGGTGCGCGGATAAGACGACAACAGATGCCTACATTTTGATAACGTAGCAGGTTGTACGATACACTGCTGTAAGTGGGTGTTGCGCGGATAAGACAAGACGACAACAGATGCCTACGGAGGAGTTTCTAACCGTGACGTGCGACTGCAAATTAACTCGTGAGTCGGATATTTCATCACTTGCTTGCACACCAGCATTGTGCTCACGTCAAGTAAACGACTTGATGAAAACACCTTCGAACAACATGTACACGTACCTACGTCATACCAACCGCCCTGAGAAAATAAACGCGCATATCGAGGCAAAGCGGGCGCCGCCGCTGCCGCCAGCCTACTCCCGACGCAGAGTGCAACAGCCACTACATGTCGCCCCCCCTGGTGCCATACACAAGGCAGAAGTCCGTCTCAATTTCAGGTATTTGGACTGGCTGGTGGAAGAGAAGTATCGCTGTGATGAATCATCGCGAATCTCTGTACATCTGGGACTCGAACGCATATCTGTGTGGGTTAGCCAATGTGGACAAAATGGGTTCCTCGCGGAGGGGTGCTGACGACTTGAAGTCGTCAGCACTACTGCTGTCCTTGCGCGTATGGAAAGAAGAAACATGTTGACGCGAACTATCGAGCGACTTCAAGAGGGATGCGGCCAAGGGTCTACCATTCCCTCGATAAGTTCGTCTTCGTGAAGAAAGATCAAACTACAAACAGTCTAGCAGACCATCGTGTTCTTGGAGCCGGTCGCGCTCAGAAGGAAAGTTGTGGAGTCAAAACAACTGATGGCGTTGGGTAGCGGGAAAACCTGTCCCTCGCTTACGAGGTTACAAATAACCGGCTGTTGCTGCATCGAGTAAAATTTTACGCATGGTGAGGCGTTTGGTCGAGTTCACATCGATCAGCTGATTTCGAAACATTAGAATACTGCTGCGCTTTAGATTGGAACCACAGGATACACAGGGTCATCAGGAGCACGGCCAACGGTTCTATGAGAGGAGGGGTTCATTCGTCTACGCTAAATGCTGTCCTTCCATGTCACGCTGACTACGAAGGTGAGGCGTTTGGTCGAGTTATCACATCGATCAGCTGATTTCGAAACATTAAAAATACTGCTGCGCTTTCAATTGGAACCACAGGATTCTCAGGGTCATCAGGAGCATGGCCAACGGTTCTATGAGAGGAGGGGTTCATTCGTCTACGCCAGATGCTGTCCTTCCATGTCACGCTACTTCACAGCTCAGCGCTTGACGAGAGGGAGAAGATGAGGGGTATACCTACCACACAGACGGACGCAGACCTTCACGAAGCATTTCGTCACTTTTTCCACTTCTTTTTCTTGCGTTATCCAAGAGGGCAGGCAGCAGGCGAAATATCTGTTGAAAAAAAACACGTCACGAAATCTACGCGCCAGCTGGGTCGGCAAATCGCAGTCTGGGTTGTGGGGATAATGCCCCAGTGCAGAAAATAATAACAACCAACAGGCGCGCCCAGGAAGGTCATCTCGCGCTGTATCGAAGCGTCGTGGTACTCCAGATGTGACATTCAACGGTGACAGGTAACGGCCGCTCATTCGAAACACGAGAAAAACGCGCGCACCTTTCTTCGCGGACAACTTGCTTGTTTACCAAAGAAAAAGTAACAGCAGAGAGGTTCCGACACGAAACAGTTCGGAGCGAGGATGTGGCCTCTCCTCCTGACAAGAAGAGCACCACGCCTACCCAGTGCCAGCTACCCTCGTCTAGATGCCGCAAGCACGGTCCTGCGACAACTCGCGCAGGCGGACAGCGCGCGCTGCAAAAACAGAACACCAGTTTGTGGATTGACACAAAGCCACCCCTCGCCGCGCGGACGACCAAAGAAAAGAAACAAGGCGCGGAGAAAAGAGAAGCGAAAATCTCACCTCACGATTGCCACAAGGGCGCAGCACACCAGGAGAGTGGTGGCGGGCTTGGGGCAAAAGAACAGCTTCATGGTGGTGGATGGAGGAGGGGTTGAGGGGAAGGCTGCTTGGTGTATTGCTGGATGAGAGAGAGAGCGAGAGAGAGAGAGAGAGAGAAAGCGGTTGGTGCGTGGTGTGTGGTGAGATGTGTTCACAGGGAGGGGTTACGTGGACAACATCTTGATTTTTTTGCTCGGCAGATCTCCGTCAGATCTCCGTCCGCAAGCCTCAATATTTCATGAAACGGTCGCGGTCGGTCCGTTTCTCGAGTCGATCGACACATTTGTCGGCGGGCGGTGGGTGCGTCTGGCGCCGCGGCGGGGTCCGACGGCCAGATCTTGTCGCGAGGGCTATGTCGAACGGATTAGCCCGGGGGATAGGTACGTGGGTGCCTGAGCGTAGAGTCGTTGACGGATGGTCCACATGATCAACACAAGCGCACTCGTCGTCGTGAAGGCCCTTGATGTATCACAGAGTCGGAGGGAGCGGTTGCCGAATCAGTGGCAAACCGAAGAAGCAGTGCGTGCTATCCGCCCAAGGCCCGGCGGTGTGGATCCAGATCGCCGTGTTGTACCACACACCGGCCAACGCCAGCAAGGTCTCTCGTGCACCGTCATTTGTCCGCCCCTCTCCAAGCTTCACACACGATGTTGTTCTCCACGCGTAGTACGTGTACGACCACCCTACATACCGTATATGACACAAGATAACACACCCCCGTGACCGATTTTCGAAGCTCGATTTCTCAACTGCAGGAACAGTCACAGCGCTGAAAACGGCGGCGTTGAAACCATGTCGTTGAGAGCTTTTCGAAAATGTATCATTTCGTTCATGCATTCTCTTCGCCGTGGAGTAATCGCGCTTTGAAAATCGGTCCAGCGGGTGTGTTATCTTGTGTCATATACGGTACACTGGTCGCTCGGGTGGTCTAGTGGGTAACCTCCCAGCCTGCTAAGGGCCAGGTCATGGGTTCGAGTACCGGCAGAGTGAGTCTTTTCTCACTAAATAAATCCTGCTCTAGGATGAAAGCGACGCGCTGCAAAGCTCGTTGTTAGTAAACCATAATCGACTTCGTAAGTCGCGAGGGAAGGGATTGCTGTACCCTTCTCGCGATAAAAATACCTCAGGCATGAACCGCAGGAGGGGGTCCAGCCCCCCCCTCCTTTGTGACCCCGGTTGGATCGTCTAGCTAGTAGAAGTGGAGGATAGGGGCCAGAGGGGCAGACGACAGAGTCCAATGATGGGAGAAAAAAAAAAAAACACCAGCAGATTTGTCGCCTGACTCATGATCGCTCCCAAGTAGTACAAGAGTGTGAGTCAAACGCTCTGTTTTGCGTTGTGTGTACAAGCATAAACTTGTGCGCAAGGTGCATGTAGACTGCTTGTTGCACACACAGCAGCAGCAAACGTCGTGTGCGTGGAGTCAATGTCCACCTCCTGTAGCAGCACCTCCGTATTCCGACGGCGGCTTATCTTCTATTCCATCTTTTTCGCGTCTTACCCGTATGCACCCTTTTCTGCCTCCTGTACTCTCTCGATTCAGTCGTTTCTGTCTCGTGGGGAGGGATAATGGGGAGGAGGCGGTAGGGGTGGACGCCTCGCGTGTACCTGCCAACTGTAGTTAGTGACGGAAGAGAGTATTGTTGGTATTGTTTCGACAAAAATGTAATTGACGTCATCACCATTCGAAAGTGCAGCAGCAGCAGCAGAAGTCCACACCTACCATGATCTTCAGGTAAAATTCCCGCACACACCACAATCACACCATCAGCACCCAGCCCCCAGCAACAACACCAGCAACAACACCAGCAACGACACCAGCAGCACCATCAATCAATAGCGTAACCTGTGCAACCACGAAATTTCTCGCCCTCTGTGGAGCGCTAGGCTGCGCCCTCCTTGCCACGTCGGCCGGGTAAGTGCAAGTCGACCAACCCATGAGCGAAAGGCCACATGTAATCCATACAGACAGCTGTAGCCAGATGGGTGAGCTCGTACAAGCACTATCGGCGCTCTCTCGCGCCGATCTTTTGTTCTTGTTTACGATAGTGGAAGACGAAGCACAGCGAGGGAAGAGCGTTGTCGTTGTTGTCTTCACAACAACAAACCGTCCGGCTCTTCTCAGTACGGTCGAACATCCGTTCATCCAACTGGCTGGCCGTTCGTGTTCCGTGGTCACCAGGACCGAGAGAAGTGAGCAGAAAATAAAGTCGTTGCTAGCATAACACGCGGCGTACTCGGAGTAGGCAGGAGCAGTACTTGTGAGAGGATAGAGTTCATTGGGTTGGCGAGGAACTACTCGAAAGGCGTGAGACACAATGAATGTTTCGTACAGTTTTACAAGTTCATTTGCCGCTCAGCAAGAAATACTGCTTGTTGTATGTAGATCCCCTTCGTAAGGGGTACGATCTCCTCTACGTCTGGCGAGGACGATTCCATCTCTTTCACATTCGCCCCAGCCGGTCGGGCTCTTGGTATCCCTGATAACCTTACCTAGCAACCAAGAAGACTCGAAGAAGGTGGGAGAACTGTGGAGATCCCCTTCATTAGGAAAGGTGCCATTTCTCCAACGTTTGTCGAGGACGATTCCCTCTGTTCAGATTGGCGTCCCAATCGGTTGGGTTCTAGTTACCCCTCCTCTCTTTGCGCACTTGCCGTAGAAGCACTGCCTTTTCCGAGGGCACACCAACTCTTCTTGCTGCGAATCGTTCGCCATACTCGATACCTACGAGTAGAAAATGAGCCCCCGGCTGTGTAGTTTCCGTGCTTGAACATAGCCGACGTAAATATGGTATAAGCGATGATTTAGGCGAAAGTATGGAGGAAAGGTACAAAACCCTTGTTGTCACGGCCATGAGACGTTGCCTCTACTCGATGAGTACGGTTTAAGCAGGAAAGCGGATATTGAGGGTTTTCTTGGCTTGTCACGACGCGCAGCCGCTACTTGTACTGCTATCGCTGTCATCGGTTCGGTTTTGTGTGTGTGTGTGCATCGCATTTTCATCACTCTCTTGACTTACAAGCACGAACTGAATTTAACCGAACCGCCGTTTGGTCGGTCAGATTGACTTCCTTTTCACTCGGGCGAGGGCGGTCTCGCCCCTTGTGCCGACGGATACAGTTAAAAAAATAGCGGCTGGGGTTCTCAGTTCCTAGGGTTAGACTACAGCTTGCTATGTTTTGAGCCGAAGCACCACGAGAAGGGAAGGTGGAGCAAAAGTGAAACTGCTTTTTTCCCTTCCATCATATACCGAAAGGTAGGGGTACAGGCCCGCAGAACAGATGGAACGAACACAACAGTAAAAACCTTGCTAACATTCTTTCCGTGTGAACGGAATGCTCGAATTCCCACCGGTCCTTGTTTCATGACGTGGACCCCAAGTAAGAGAACTCGTGGGAGATATAAATGCGGCGAACCTACAGAAACAAACAGCGCCGTCAATCGCAGTTTTTGGTGGCTGACAACGAGAAACATGCACATTTAGGGTGCACCCAGTGAAGTCAGCTGCGGTACACAGTTTTGCATGCCACTGCTTGATGGAACTCTCCTAACAAGAAACGTCACACTGGACGCCCAGTCGCCCTGTGTCATACTTTACGGGGCTGACGTTTTAAGAAACAATTCACCCTGTTGTCTTTTTTCTACCGCAGCTTCGTAGAACGTATCCGTACCCCAAGAGACTGATGAGACCCTTCCCCCCCACCGCCGCGGGACAAGACATCCGCGTGAGAATAACGTATGGGGGGGATATACTCATAGCAGTGCGTGCCGTAGTCGTTAGACAATTGACCTCGCATCCCTACAAGGCCGGGGCGGAGCACGCCGGGTTCTCACCGGACCTCTCACATCGCCAAGAGCGAAGCGCCGTCAGGTACTTGGCGTGTTAAGGTGATCGCTCACTGTCAACACGGCCAATCTCGGAAAACGAACTTTGACCCACCGCTAAGAAGCAACCAGTCTGTGAGTCGACGCATGAGAGGTAGATCTGGATAGACATTACCTTGACTCACCTTACTAGTCCCACCTGGATTAGACCCCCCTGGTGAGACCCACCGAGATTGTATCCCTTTCGCTAGCCCCAACTTGAATCCAATGGTAAGTTACCATGAAACTAACCATAAAATTGATTAAGCTAATTGAACTCTAGCCGGTGCTTGTTACGTTAACGCAGGGGTAGACTACCCTAAGCGAGAGCGTTATAACCACTGTTGCGTGGTGGAGGAGTAGGGATGCAGCGCCGCCGTTGGGTCCGTCGGTTCGAAGATCGTTCAACCATACGTGGGGAATCATATGGTAACACAAAACGTCTGGAAATGGATCGATGATAGTGGAATGCTAAATGACTATGTAGATTGATTTCCATGGTGCTTGTTGTGTGTAAAGTACTTACAGCATAGGAAGAGAGGAAAGGATACTGTGTACAGTCCTCACGTACTGCAGCGCTACAATAAATATTAAGGAGGATTCTATTTACGTCACCGGTGGCGTTATTTCTTATATACGTCACCGCCCGTATCTTAGCCCACAGAGCTTCAATTGGCACAAAATAAATTTCGTTGTGTAGCTATAACCCACACCAATCATACAAGCCTTTCGACGGTCAAATCCGATAAGTGGCTGCGGAGATTTGCTCAAAAGGGGGCTCAGCAGTATGATACTACATCTACCACAAAAAAATCCGACTGTAACTTCGCGCAGAGAGCTCCGATCGACACCAATAGCTTAAGTGATGGCTGTGAATCGTGGAAACACAACGCGAGTTATATAGTTGGTGTCGATGAGAACTCTCTGCGAGGAGGCACGGTCGTTTTATTTATGGCAGATACAGTATATCATGCCGCTGAGCCCCCTTTTAAGCAAATCTCCGCAACCACTTATCGGATTTGACCGTCGAAAGGCTTGTATGATTGGTGTGGGTGATAGCTACACAACGCAATTTATTTTGTGCCAATTGAAGCTCTGTGGGCTGAGATACGGGCGGTGACGTATATAAGAAATAACGCCACCGGTGACGTAAATAGTTTTTTTCCATCAAATATTAATAGTTGTGTCTTCCTACCACTAGACGGCTGTCTGTGGCATATCTTCCTCATGCATCGGCATGAATGGACTTTGTCGCACCGATAGATAGATATCCTGTTGGCCGTGGACACCACGCTTTTCGTTTTGTTTTCTCTTGGAACACCACCACCTTGCTTGTCTAGACTATGTGGCACAAACTGGAATGAAGCTGGACTCAACCTTTCATTTTTTTTTGTGCACACCGGTGGGGTCGGTCAGAGGATGGAACCTTCGGTTATTGAAGGCCGTTCAATGCCATATATTGGCAATACATGATTTGTTTGGGGTACTTGGATACAAGATCCGATCTGCAGAGAACATGTGTGCGGGGGGTATACTGTTGGGGGTCCAGGTGCGGGCCCCCTCGTGAGAGCCCGCGCTTGGCACAGAGGGCCCATAGGAGTTATTTAAAACTCAAAAATTTGCCCAAATGCCCGCACACAGCAGTCCCGCGAATTTGGCAAAGATGAGATTTAAATGTCAGCTTTGTTTGGGGTGAAAAACACCATAACGACCAAAATAATTTGGACCTAGCCCGCCAAGGCGCGGCACAGCACCTGAACCACTCTAGCGAAGAGCACGCACGCCCCCCACCANGGTGCGGGCCCCCTCGTGAGAGCCCGCGCTTGGCACAGAGGGCCCATAGGAGTTATTTAAAACTCAAAAATTTGCCCAAATGCCCGCACACAGCAGTCCCGCGAATTTGGCAAAGATGAGATTTAAATGTCAGCTTTGTTTGGGGTGAAAAACACCATAACGACCAAAATAATTTGGACCTAGCCCGCCAAGGCGCGGCACAGCACCTGAACCACTCTAGCGAAGAGCACGCACGCCCCCCACCAAGCGCCACCACACACGCTGTACAACATCGCCGCCCTCCTGGAGACAGCCTTCACATCGGTAGATCATGAGCTCCCCTGGCAACCTTGAGTGCAGCGGTGCGCACCCCCCAGCGGCTCCTCAAATGTCCAGCTCCACGAATGTCCTCGGCAAGCGCCATGCGGAGGAGGCCGTGACCGGGGGGCAACCGCCACGGCAGAGAGCGGTGAGCCCTGTTGGACATGGGGGTAATGACCCCAAGCTTGTGCTTCCCGCCTCTCACCACAGCAGCAGCCAGGCTGCACAAGCACCGTATCATCATTCCGTCTGCGTACACCAACAAGAGCATGGCAGTGTACAGCGGCAGCCTCCTCAACAGCAGCAGATGCCGAGTACCCTCCACCCCAAGCTCCCAACTACGGTCAGAACTTAATGGCTCATCAGTACTACCCAACTACACAACAGCAGGTACTACCAGGACATGTCTCCCCGACGGAAGCTCCGGGATCAACTCCGCCCCAGCTCAGCGTTTCCCATGCTGGCCAGGTAACGGCGGCGACAGCGACGGCAGCAGCCGCCGCTTCTGCCCCTTCTCCGATGGTGGCAGCGTTCACAGCAGCTTTCATGGAGAACCACCGGAAGTTAGCTGGTCAAGTCGGGCAGACAGCGGCTGCGTCAGTTCCGGCGCAGGTACCCGCGCAGGCACCCGCACTTCCTGCCGTTCAAGTCGGAGTCTTGGAGACAGCACCGGCGGAAACGGCGACCGCGTTTTCCTCCTCTCCGCCTGGGCAATCAGCGGCTGCGGCAGGGAGGGTGTTTACATCCGCACTCCCTGCCCCTCACGCCGGAGTCATCGCGACAGCACCGGCGGCAATCCCGACAAAATCTACCTCACAAGCCCCTGGGCAGATTGCGGCTGCTGCACAGAGACCACCTGCACTCGCACCTCCTGCTTTCCAAGACGGAATAGCAGCGGCACCAGCGGCGGCCGATTATGCTACCCCTCAAGTCCCGCCAGGATCGGCGGCTGTGGCGCCGCCGATCCAGGCGGGACCTCCTGCCCCTGAAGATGCGAAGTTTTCGGCGGCTGCGCCGCGGTCGCAAGAGGCGGCAGCCCCTACCCATGGGGTCGGAGCAGCGGCGGCAAGCGGCGTGGTACAAAAAGTCTGAAAAAGTTGGCGTCACCGTTGCCGATGGCGGCGTGACGAACCAAAGGGCGAGGGGACAGATGAACTTGGTATACAAGCGCATGTTGTTCGAGGCCCTCCTGGAGAAGGTGAGGGATTCGCACCGGCTCAGCCATAGAGGGGCGAAATTCACGTGGAAGACGAGAGCGGTGGACTACATTACCGAGCAAAAACCCCTGTTCGAGTCCGTCCGCAAGAAGTGGCTGCAGCTGCCTCAAGAATCGAGGATGAAGTACAGGTGCGCCAACTACCTGGACACCCCCTTCCCGACGGAGTCCACCGCTCGGTACTGGTTCAACGAATGCAGGACGGCCTACCACAAACACAGGCAAACGTAAGCAACTTTTTTATTATTGTCCCAGACTACACATTGTTTTTTTTCCTTTTGTTTGACGCCTTATTGAAGTAGTTCATACGAGGTGCATGTCGCGTCTTGGCGGTTAGTGGGCATGCGAGGTCATCCGGCATTTACAACCGTAAAGTCTGTCCGGGGATAGAGTGATTTTGACGTAGATACTCCATATTTGGGACACGGTAACGGTGCCAACTACAATGCCCACCGCATAAATTTGTCCCGGCGAGGAGAAGTAAACGATAACGAATGTCCGTGCACCTTGTCGGGCGCGTACAGGCTCCGGTGTCCATATCATCGCGTATTCTCACCTGCTGAGACTATTGCACGTGGGATGTTGGCGAATTGATGTGAGGCACATAAAGGACACTAGCACAACCTCCTTGTGGGGCACCGTCATCACGTTGTCCTCTCTCCTATTGTCGTGATCTGTGACCCATATGTCTCATGTGACTTTCTTTTTTGGGAACGAAGGTAGCCAGAACCAGTTTGTAGTTGTTATGCATTTCTTTTGCCCACGCTATTACCAACGGTTATCCACGTACATCGAGTGCAACGAGACTGGACACGTATGAATACTTCTGCCATGTATTCGCCTGCGATCGTTCTTCTCTACTCCTCCGTTCGTAAAGGCCGAANAGCTATTTCTAACGGTTATCCACGTACATCGAATGCAACGAGACTGGACACGTATGAATACTTCTGCCATGTATTCGCCTGCGATCGTTCTTCTCTACTCCTCCGTTCGTAAAGGCCGAAGGGAAACGATAAAGGCCGATTCTGGACTGACTACTCCCCGGTTTTCGAATCAATCCTCAAGCTCATGGAGTCCTCCTCCAACGACGGCAACGGCGATGCGGCCAGAGATGACGCTACCGAGAGGGTGAGATAAAGAACGATTGGCCTAGTCGACGGCATGTATCCGATTGGGNCGTCCTCCTCCAACGACGGCAACGGCGATGCGGCCAGAGATGACGCAACCGACAGAGCACAGCAGGCTAAAGCCGAGAGGGTGAGATGAAGAACGATTGGCCTAGTCGACGGCATGT